GGACTCCAGTCCTTATACTGCCAACAGATCTATTCATTGAGGAGGACCATTTAAGCATTTAAAAAGAGGCAGAGGGAAACCTTTCCTTAGTGTTATTAAAGTATCTTTATAATACCTTAAAGTTCCCCTGTTCTGCATGAAATGAAGGGAAATAAAAGTTGCACACAGTTCTTAAAGATAGTTTTATGAATGCTAGCATATTGTGCAATATAGCAAAGATCAGATTTATGATCTAATCTAATATCTACTATTGTGCCTAATAAGCTTATGATGCTCTTCATATCACTTCATGTCACAGCAATTTTTCAAACATTTCTCACACCAAACCTTAGAAATATAAAAGCAGTACTGTATGTACTGATTGAATGAGAGAGAAGACCTTGGCTTCTTGTCCTTGAGTTGCCAGTTAAGGACCTGACACTTTCAAATTACAGTTTAAAAACCATTGTGGTAAAGTAAAGAGCTTATAAGGAGAAATTTGACTCTGTGAAGAGGAGGAAAAGGCAGCAACAGACTAGAAGAAAATATTTATAAAACACTTGTATCTAGAATATATAAAGAAGTTTGTTGAAACTCAGCAGTTAAAAAAATCTAATTAGAAAATGAGCAAAATACATGAACAGATGGCAAATGAAAGATGTTCAATATAAGCCACTAGAGAAATTCAAATTAAACCACAGTGAGATATCATCAGAATAACTGAAGTAAAAAGTAGTGATACGAATGCTGATGGGAAGGTGGAGAAATGGACCACGCATCGCCTGCTGGTGGGAAGGAAAGTGATGCGGGCACTCTGGAAAAGAGTGGGTCATTTTCTTATAAAACTAAACAGGAGCTTACCATACAACACAGCAATGACACTTTTAGAAGTTTATCCCAAAGCAGTGAAAACTTAAATTAATGGGAAAAATAAAGCTGTACCAATTAAGTCTTCCACCCCATTTTTCTATTCCCCAATTTTATCAGTTCTGTATTTATTTGATTGTTTATCGTCTAACTGCCTCCACTAGAACGTAAGTGACATAAAGGACTTCAGCAGAGTTCATTGCTGTGTTCTCAATGGCAAGAATAGTACTTGGAGGCGGGGCATGGTGCCTCACAACTCTAATCCCAGCTACTTGGAAAGCATAGGTCGAGAGGATCACTATTCATGAGACCTCCACTTCAACAAATAAGCCGGGTATAGTAGCTCACATCTGTAGTCCTAGCTACTTGGGAGGCCACAAGTAGGAGAATACAGATCTCAGGCCAATCCCAGATAAAAATATAAGATCCTACCTTAAAAAAAAACACAACAAAAAGAAAGCAAGGGCTAGACATAGTGCACAAGTGGTACAGCACTTGCCTACCAAGTATGAGGCCCTGAGTTCACACCCCAGTACCACCAAGAATAGTAATTGACATTAGGACGTATGTAATAAGTAGTGCATGGATTAATTATTCATCAGTGAAAAAGAATAATAAAGCAGATTTTGGAAGAAGTCGAGACTTCCACCAAACTTAACAGGTTACCTTAGATTCTGCCGAGGCATTTTGCTCAGTGTTTCAGAGAGAGTTTGAAGAGAACAGCAGGGATTTCTTTTAACACTTACTGTGCTCAGTGGTGTTATGCTACTAGTCATCATGTTCTACTCTCAATGTGTAAGGCATCTAGCATTAGGAGTCTTCAGGGAACTTACAGTTCAGTTGGAGAGAATAATACACCTTGCTGTGACAAGGGAGAGTTAACTTACATAAGAACAAAACTCCAGGAGTCTTTGTAGAATCAAAGGAAGTTGATTTTCATATTTGAAAGACTGAGAACTGGTTTCTACATGGGAACTTGGAATATAAATAGAATTTAACATGTGGGGATAAAGAGGGCATTCCTAGTGAAAGGAACACACAGACACACTTGGAGAACGTGTGCATGCTTGCGTGGGGTATGTGTGTACAGATCGTAGTACAGTACTGCAGGGAACAGCAACTACAGCAAGCAGTAAAGCTTACCCTTATGTGAAGTAGCATAGGAAAGACTGGTAATTAGACAGAAATTTTCCTCCTATATTATAGGTCCCCTTTAATACTTACCTAAGGAGTTGGAACATGGAGAGTTATGAAGTTGGCACGTAACTTTAACCTAGAAGCAGTAAGTTGAAAAGGATTTCGGAGCTCTCAGAACTTAACAGAAAGGGGTACATGACCAGTTACTGAGTCAGCATTGCTAACATATGGCATTTCACCCACCAGTTCTTTGCCATCCTGGTTGAAGATAAAGAATGAGGTTTGTTTTTGAAGCCACTGGAATTGGATTTCAGTTTTAACTTTACCACTTATTAGCCATGTAATTTAAGTTAGGATGTTTAACCTTGGATTCAGTTTGCTCATTAAAAACTGGGTACTAGTGGCTCATGCCTATAATCTTAGCTACATTGGTGCCTGAGATGAACAGAAATGTGGTTCAAAGCCAGCCTGGCCAAAAATTTTGTGAGAGCACCATCTCAACCAGCAACTGGGTGTGGTGGCACAGGCCTGTCATCCCAAGCTAGGAGGGAGCTGAGATTGGGAAAACTATGGTTGCAAACCAGTCCATGCAAAAAAATTTAATGAGACTATCTCAACAGAAAAAAGATGGACATGATGCTTCCTAACTATGGTGGGCAGCATAAAATAGGAGGATGGAGATCCAAGTTGACCTGGGCATAAAGTGAGACCCTATTTCCAAAACAACCAGAGCAAAAAGGACTGGGGCCATTGCTCAAATGGTAGAGCTGCTACCTACTAATCATGAAGCCCTGAATTCAAACTCCAGTACTGCCAATAAATGAAGGGGGAAGACAGGGAAAGCAAACTAATAAGACAGTTGTGAGAATTCCAGTGTTAGAAAGTGAATATGAAATGGCTAGCTCACTACCTTGCACATAGAAGATAATTGAATAAATGTTATTTTGCTCCCTCCAAGGAAATTTTGAAGAAAAAAAAGTGTGAGTTCTGGCTTATGGGAGTAGATGCCCAAAATACTGAAAGTGTGGGACTGAGGTTTGCTCCAATTGTAATCGCGATGGGACCTTAAGTTCCTTGATCCTTGGTGTAACGCTTTTGAATTTTCAAGTGGAGTGAATTAGTTTGAATTTATTTGGCTATTTAAATTAGCACCTAATATTTTCCAAAGAAATCAGATAAGGTAAAAAAAAATCTAAGGTAAGAATTTTTGTGAATAAACTCACAATTCCTATTTCTAAAAATTGCTTACTAAACTTTTAAACATAGCTTTTTCTGAGTTGAAAGAAATTAATTTGTCTTTGAAACATTTCTTGACACATGTAGAATGTAGATTTTAATTAAAAACTTTTAAATGAAAACATGTATTAATTTAACTTAGAAATTTAGACAAAAGCAATTGTACGATAACCAGGGTTATAGCTTTACATTAATAAAAACAAATAATTGATCGCATGTTTGTTTCATCTAGAGCTAGCAGGGAAATGCTTCAAAGAGTGTTTAGTAGAGATTAATAATTTACTAAGGAGGGATAATTTTTCCCTCTTAGAAGATGTTTAGACCTTAGAGCTGAAACAATATGATTTGAGGTAATATATTAATGTCAAAGATTCTTCGTGATCTTTATAAATGTATTTTAAGTTACTTAAAATGTGTATATTTAAAGCTTAAACAGCATTTAGAAAATAAATTCAGCTTTAGTGGAAAGTTTAAAGATTCCATTTTCTTTCTTCAAGTAGGTGTCATGGAAAGATCCAAGTTCCATTCCAGGTAGCTTTGGTAAGGGCTTCGGCAAATCTCTTAATCGTGAAAAGCCCACTTCTTCAGGTATAAAGTATCTGAGAGAAGCTGAGATAATTTTAGCATTCTCTCAGGTGGTCTGAGGTATCTTTTTACCTTCTTTATTTACTTTTCTGGTGCATTTGCCTACATGCCTGAGTAACCCACCATCTGTCATTTTTAGGGAATTTTTCATCATTTCATTAGTCAAATATCAGACTTTCCTTTTCAGTCCACTAACAGGAAACTTTCCAGGTTTCCTTCAAACCTCTGTATTTTCTTTCACTCTTTTATCCTCTTTCTTTATCCTTCTCCTGTGTACAGTAATTCCTTCTCTCTGAAAGTTCTGTTCAAATTCAGTGTAATCTTTAGAGTTCATATGCCACATCTATTTGTATTTATTTTGGTGCCATTTTTTTTCTTAAATATACTTCTAGACTCTTTTGAGGTTTTTTTTTCTTTTAGTAGAATAGGCATTTAATACATGTTTCAAATTGCTTTCTTTTCACAAATAGTAGTTTATGAGAATAATTCCTTTTTGACCATTTTGTTTATTTTTATATGAACAAACGGGTATTTTTCACTAGAAAATTATTGCAATACATATATTTTGATTTTTCAGGTCATCTGTCCTGTCAAATATGTTTATTTTCATAGCTGAGAGTGACAGTTTAAATTTAACTAATTAAATGTGGTTGGAAAGGCCTTGTGGCAGTAATTAAACATAAAATCATAGGGCTCTATTGTTCTCTAAATCTGAGAAGAATCATAATCAATTGTAATGTTTGACATTTGTTTTCAATTTGCTTTCTGGTACTACATACTTTCTTACATTTATATACATATTGTATCCATTTTCTCTGTAGTTTGTAAAGGAAAATTTATGTCAGGTATTTAAAGGTACTAATATATAAACATTTTTGGTGAAGTGAATTACTAATGGGAAGAGTAGAGCAAAAATAGTAGTTTGCCTTAAGGATGTATTGTGGTTATTGGCATCTTTATTAAATTTCTTTTACCTTCCAGTGTTGAGATTTTCCAAGTAGCCAGCCAGCTCTTTTTATGCTTAGGTGTTAAATATAAAGTTATAAATCTATTCATGAATTTTTCATGTTGCACTATTACTTTCTTTTAGTTTTCAATGTATTTTTCATCTATGAATAACTTTATAAATAACCAACACCACTTTTTCTTAAGGTTTTGATTTTTCATGTAAAGTCTTACTTCTTTTTTAAATCTAGGTGACTGTGGAGATCATGTTGTCATAATGAATACAAGACACATTGCATTTTCCGGAAACAAATGGGAACAGAAAGTGTACTCCTCACATACTGGGTAAGATCATGCCTTTGTCAAGGAAAATAGAAAAAATGTGTGACATTAACAGTACTGTTGCTCTTTAATATTTTTTATATTTTCCAAAATTTGTGTTTAAGAAAATGCTAATTTTACTCCTATATAATTTATTCAAAATATATTCAAAGAACTATGGCAAATACTAGATGTTACCTGACAGTATTTATTAAAGGTTTTCATATAACCTCTCTGATAAAAATTATTTTTTAGTCAATCTTCTCCTTTCTTTCTGCGTACTGTAATTCACTTTACTGTTTCCAGAACCATCCTGAAATCTCACTAGAAGTGTAAAGAGAGTTCCCTCTCTTGTAGACACAGTCTTGTTTGTCAGTGTGTCTCTTAAGTACATTCACTTACCTGGGGCAGTTGTGCTGATGTCAAGAACAGTGTGACCTTTCCTCCATCTTTTAGTCAAGCAGTCTGCTCCTGTAGTGTAAGTGTTCCTCATGGCATATCACTTATGTGTTTATGGAATTTACGATCAGCTAAAATGCTGAAGTCTTTTTCAAACGTTCTCTATTCAAGTGTTTCTCCTCCTTCATGGGTGTTTTAGTGGTATTTTCTTTAGTGTGTATTGATCGTACAAAGCGATGGGTTTCATTATGACATTTTCATACATGTATGTAGTGCTTTGATCATACTCACTCTATAACCTTCTTTGCTCTCTCTCCCATCTTGCTTGTTTAGTTTTGGGTTTTTCTTTGTTGGTTTTGTTTTAATCTAGAAAGCCGTATGAGAGAAAACATACAATATTTGAATCTGGCCGTTCTTTATGGCTGAATAATACTCCATTGTGTTACACACCACATTTTCTTTATTCATCTGTTGATGGGCACCCAGCCTGATTCTATGACTTGGTCATTATTAATAGTGCCATGGCAACATGAGTATGCAGATATCTCTGTTACATGTTGACTGTGATTCCTTTAGGTATATACCCAGGAGTGGTATAGCTAGATCATATGGTAGTTCCATTTTTAGTTTTTGGAGGAACCTCCATACTGATTCTCTTAGTGGTTGGACTAAATTTTCATTCCCACCAATAGTGTATAAGGTTTCCTTTTTTCCCATATCCTTGCCAGCATTTTTTGGGTTTTGTTTGCTTGATAGCCATTCTGACTGGGGTAAGATAGAATCTCAGTGTAGTTTTGATTTGGATTTTCCTGGTGGCTAAAGATGTTGAACATTTTTCATGTATTTGTTTGTCATTTGTACTTCTTTTTTTGGAAACTGCTCATTTCACTTGCCCTTTTGTTAGATTATTTGTTCTCCTAATGTTTAACTTTTTTGAGTCCTTTATATATGCTGAATACTAAACCTCTGTTGGGTTAATAGATTTTTCTCCCATTTTGTAGACTACCTCTTCACTCTGGTAATTGCTTCTTTTGTACAGAAGCTTTTTAATTTGATGCAATCCTATTTGTCAGTTCTTGCTATTATTTCATAAGCTATTGGAGCCCTATTCAGAAAAGCATTGCTTTTACCTAAATCCTGAAATGTTTGTCTGTGTTTTCTTCTAATAGTTTCAAAGCTTCAGGTATTGCATTAAGATTTTTTATCTATTTTAGTTAATTTTTGTATAGGATGAGAGATAGGGACCTATTTTCAGTCTTCTGACCACCATTTGTTAAAGAAGCTGTCTTTTTTCCAGTGTATGTTTTTGATATCTTTGTCAAGAATTAGATGACTGTAACTGTATGGGTTTATTTCTGGGTTCTCTATTATGTTGATCTACTCTGTTTTGTGATAGCACCATGCTGTTTTTCTTACTGTGGCTCTGTAGTATAATTTGAAAATCAGGTATTGTGTTACCTCCCACATTCTTCTTTTTGTTCATACTAGCTTTGGCTCTTCAGGATGTTTTGTGCTTCCATATGAATTTCAGGATTGATTTTTCTAGTTCTGTGAAGAATGTCAATAGAATTTCGATGGGAATTGCATTGACTCTGTACATCTCTTTGGGTAATATGGCCATTTTCATAATATTGATTCTGACCATGTACATGGGATGTCTTTCTGTCTCCTAAGTCTTCAATTTCTTTCTTTAGTGTTTTATAGTTTTAATGATAGAGGTCTTTCATATCCTTGACTAGGCTTATTCCTAGGTTTTTTGTTTTGCCTTGAGGCTGTTGTGAATTGGATTGTTTTCCTGATTTCTTTTACAGCATGCTTGTTATTAGTGTCAACCTTTTTAGTCACTGTGTGTATTATACGATTTACTATACTTAATCATTGTTGTACTTTTCTGAAATGAAAATTTTGGCCTTATAAAGAGCTAGAAAATATCTTTTTCCATTAACTTTTTAAAAATATATAAGGTTATTTTAAATAAATCTATGGAAAGACAAATTTCGGGTTTAAAAGAATGATCATTTACAGGTCTTTTCACAGGTGTTTCCAAGTATCATTTCTGTATTTTATAAGTATGCTTGTGTGTCAAAACTGTGCAGCCACAATAGCATTAAAAATAATTTAGTATGGAAATACCACAATGAAATCCCTTCATACAATTAACATGCATTAATAATGAAAAACAAAATACTGGCATGATAATAATGTCAATACTACTTTGGTTGGTATCTGATTACTTTCATTTGCATAATAACAAGGTCTCCCTATTTTCCTCATCAATTCCCATAACTATTTTATTATTCTGCTATTATATTTTTTACTTTTTATAAATTTTCTTTGTGGTATTCATGATTTTTATACTATTAAAACTGTGTTTTCCTTTGTAATTTCTTCTGATTTCTCGTTTCAGAAAATTCTTCCTCAACTAGATATTTCATAAACATTTACTTCTCATTAGTTTTAGGGATTGGAGAGTTGGTTATATATGCACCTTGACCTTTCACATTCTAACTCTTTAGTCAGCTAAAATGTATTGGCATGACTTAGAGATCTACAGCTTACTACTAGTAAGCCAACAGAATTTATTTCATTATCTGCTTGAGAACAGGATCCTTTCTTATTTCTGTATGCATTCCCAATGCCCTGAATAATAGACATTTAGTAAGTGCTTATTAAGTTAATTTAGATGAAAAACCCATGGCTAGTATTTTAAACAAATTTTCCCTCCCTCTATCCATGATGTTTCATAGTGGAGGAAAAAATAGAGCTATTTTTCCACCAATAAAAGTCAAGTGAGTGTTGCATTTCTCAAGTCATTCCCTAGCCAGAATTTTGCATTAGCTTTCCAGATCCTTCAGGATGAAGTCCAGACTCCTGAAATATGGCATAAAGGTTGTTGTGCTTTAGAATCTGCCATGCCACAGTTGAAAATAGAAAGATAATCTTTAGCGTATATGTTGCAAAGTATTTTTCCATGGATAAAAATAATACAGGAATAGAAGTCTAGACAGGTATTTATTTTTCTCAAACAAATAAAAACTTATCAGTCTGATAATTACCCATCCTTCTCAGCAAACTTCTAAATTTGACTTAAGTTTTATTCCTAAAATGTGATTTCTTAAATCATCCTTAAAATGCTTTTAAATTTTCTTGAAAGAAGTTGTATTTAGGTAACCTTAAGTTTTTTTTGTTTTTTGTTTTTTTTACAAAATCCACTGGCTTTCCAATTTTCTCCCTTTCCTAAAAAATGTCAAAAACATCATTTTTCTAGTCAGAGTAGTAAATCCTTCCGCCTGTGTACATTCATGTATTGTTTTGTTTTGAATTTCTTAAGCTATTTTATAAATATTTTCTCATTCGACTCAAAGAATTTTGTGAAGCACATTGGGCATATATAATTTGCATATGAGTAAAATCATGTATGCAAAGGTAAAACAAGTTACCTCATATTATATGGGGAGTCACTGGACTAGATCTGGGATATCCAAGGTACTAAGCTAACTCTAATTCTATCCCAGTTTATCTGTTTTGTATATAATATTTGGTATGAGCACAATGCAATATTTTATTACTTAAAACCAACATATAACTCTTAGTGGTCTTTTACCAACTAAGAGAAAACAAGATCATTACCTTTTTAGGATATGAACTTGACTTCAGAACCAAGTGATCTACCACATTTTCCCTAGACCTAAGCCCTAACTTTTAAATCAAGAAGTATTAAACTACCTATAATAAATAAATGAATGGGTAAATAATTTTTCTAAGATGTAAAAGTATTTATAAAGAGATAATTGGCCACTTAAGAGTAGCATTTCAAATAGTATAAATTACTGTATAATTTTTAAGTGCTAATAAATATAGTTTCTAGAAACAATTTATTATAATAATTTTATTTATATAAAATAACAATCATTTTAAAAACAGTACCATAGCCTATTCCTGGTTTCAATGTTTTTGCTTCTTGTTTAACAGCTACCCAGGTGGATTTAGACAAGTAACAGCCGCTCAGCTTCACCAGCGAGATCCTGTGGCAGTAAGTCTGTTGACTGTTTGATTTGTCATCTGAGGAAGACAGTTGCAGACACTGTTTTCACAGTAACCCTTCTCTTCTAATGTAGTTTCCACTTCAGGCTATAAATGCTTCATTTTAGCTACATCACACTAGTTTTGATAAGTGTCATTTTCATTATCATTCAACTCTTATGTGTTTCCCAACTACCATTTATTATATTTTACATTGAGTCAAATAATTCTGATGCTTTCCTTTTTAATTTCTTCACACCTGCAAAATTGCCTAGACTACAGTAAGTTTGCTACAAATACCTTGGGGTAGAGGGAGAGAGAGAGAAGTATGTAGATATTTATGTGTATATGCATTATATATATATATATATATATATATATATATGTATAAAAGTTTGATATATATTACATATATATATATATAATCAGACTTGCTAAGTAAGGTGTTCTGTTGTTCCAGTTTTATATTCTTACTGACTTGGTTTTTGTTCACTTAATTTATTGTTAGTAAATTAGTAGTAATTAAATTAATTAAATTATTAGTAATCAATTTATATTGATTACTAATTATTACACTCTCAACTTTGGATTTACTAATTTCTCTATAGGTCTGTCAATTTTGGTTTATATATTTTGAAGATTGAGTCTCCTTATTTTTGACTTCAAATTAGTTATATGCTTTAAAAATATTTTAATAAGCAATATTATTTTCACTGGTGTTTATTACTTTATCATTTTAGTCGTATACTGGGCAAAGTTCTAATCCATATGTTAATCCTCAATATTGCTAAAAACAAAGTCTTCTGTTGCATTTTACAATTTAGTTTTCCTTTTTAAACTGAATAGACCTAGCCTTTGAACTATACTCATAGGATGGATAGGATAGTGTTTTCCCCATACTGTTTTAGCTTTTGAAAAGAACTTAAATACATTCATAAATGCCCAGTGTTAGACTCTGAAAATATTTTTTTTTATTTCCCTAAAAATAGTGAGTAAAAACCATCCATATATACATTGTCAGGATACAACCATTTGTTTAGTGTAATATTACCTAAAATTTGCTTGGTAAAGTGTAAGAGAAGGATATTTTGTTGTAATGAAGCCTGACATGCCATTTACAAGTTCCATGCTTGACCATTTATTTTATATTACTCATATCTTTTTTACAAAACTGTGCTCAGAGATCACTTCTTAGGAAATATTAAATGTTCTGTCTCATAACTGGCATGTTTTTAGACTGTTATAAGACATTGTATTCTCTTTGACTCTTCATATGGCTTGCATATAGCGTATTAAGGTCACAAAGGCTGCTGCTAAGATATGACAAGTTTAGTTTTAATATTTTATAAATATTTGAGAAGTTTTAAAAATCATTTCTATTTTGTTCAGTCATGTTAACTCTACACTAGAAGGCAGTATAGCCCAACTTTTTATTGTTTTATGGCATTTGATAACATTTGTAGAAATTGTTTCAAACTACTTTCATGAACAAAAATTGAAACACATTACAAAATGTTTAATGAAAACTTAGAAAATACTTCAGGTAAATCTATTTTCATTATTAACTATTAAAAGATCTTAATATTTTTTTAAAGTCTTAATTTTGACTTTGATTTTGAAAAGAATAGCTTGTTGTGGAAAAGGTTCATTGTTTTAGTTCAACCATTGCTTATTTGGAGCATAGGCTCTGTCAGTAGACATAATACTTGTCAGTACTCTCTTTATGTTAGAGAATTTATTTTATAATACAGCCCTCTGATTATTTGTGTACTCTTGAAATATCGGTAAAGTACATTGATTTAGACTTATAGTTAAATAGGTAATAGTAATTTGTTGAATAATTTTTTGAATTTCTCTTAATTAAATAGATTATAACTCAAATAAATATATTGTTTCAGCCCTTCCTAAGTCCTTTAACCTGCTGTCATGTACTTTAAGTGTCTTAGTTTTTCTGTCCTTATGTAGTCTTCCAACATGGTTCCTTTCTTATGTTATTTCCTTCCATATATACAGTCAATGTGTGCGAAGCAAATGACACAAGCCTGGATGGCAGATTATATGAGGAAATTCTTTAGTGTTTATTAACTATACCCTGTTCTATCATTTTTACTTTCTGAATTTCTTAGCTTTTATCCCTGAAGTCCATTCAGCTAGAACTACTTGATTGTACACTGTTTATCACATTTGTTTTGTTTACCACATGTTTGTATCTGTCTTTTTTTCTCCCTGTTAGTTTAACTTTTTCACATTTTCTATCTTTTACTAATTTGAGTGTAATGTTTGCTTTTTTTTGAGATACTGGGGTTTGAATTCAGGGCCTTTGCACTTGCTAGACAGATGCTGTACCACTCGAGCCAGTCTGCCAGTCCTTTTTTGCATTGGTTATTTTTAGAATAGGGTTTCATTTCACTCCCCCAGTGGGGTTGGACCCTGATTTTCCTATTTGTGATTCCTCCCATAACTGGGATGACAGATACACGTCACCATGCCCAGCCATGATGTTTACATTTTTTATTAGGACAAATTTTTAAAATACCACCTTAGCAATTCAAATAAATACAACTAAATTTTCTAAAATCATGAAAACCAAATGCCATTTTACCCTACTGATATATTTCAGTTGCTACTAAGATGATATGCACAGGATATCATGACTTGCTTATCCAGAAAAGATGCTGAGTAGTTTGCTTATGACTTTTAAAACATTAAAATTTTAAGCAGCACCTGTATCACAGAAATTTCTGCCATGATGGAAATGTTCCGTCTACACTGCCAAATATGGTAGTGTAGCCACTTGGCAGCTGGCCACTTGAAATGTGGGTTTGTAGGATTGAGCAAATTAATTTTTAATTGCTTTTAATTTTGACAATAACAATCTACACTTAAATTCTGCAGAATTAACATAGAAAATAAAAAGAATAGGAAATCTTCATAGAGTGCAGTCCTGTCCTACCATATATTGTTTTAGTGATTTGATTCTAACACACCTTATCCTTTGAAATATGAGTGCAAATGGTAAAAATCTATTTAACATTTCAAAAGTCTTTCAGCCAGGTCACCCTCTGGAGATTGTGGAACACAGGGAAGCACTATGTGGTCTTTTCTTGATCAAATATACATAAAATCACATTCAGACCAACAGTGAGGGTAACCTTACAAGGGGAAAAGTAAATCTTGGAGAAGTCAGATTGCCCTGTATGGAATGGGTGTGGTAGAAAAAGGGGCTTTGTCTTCTTAATGGAAAGAATCATTTTATGGATATGATTACATGTACTGTGTTTCTGTGAGTAAGACTACTTGGGTTGAGTTCCAACCTCCATTTGTTAGATGTGTGAAACTGGGGGAGTTCTTTATCCTCTGCAAAATGAGGCTAGTGATAATGGCTACTTCACAGCATCATATATAAGATTTTAAAATGTAATTCATTGACCAGTGTCCACATTGTAACTTTCAATGAATGTTAGCTGTGACCATTGTTGTATACTTGTGTCTTGCATAATCAGTATCATAACTGTGTAGTCAGCTGTATTTATCAATTGAAAATCTGTTGCTCTTCCACCTGGAAAAGACAGGATGAAGCCTTTTCCCCTGCACCCAGATTCTGCTCTAAGCAGTGTATGATAAATTATTTGAACCACAAATTCTTGCATAAGCTTAGAGAATTTCTTAGGCCATCTAAATTGGCACAAGTGTAAGTTATTTTTAATCTTTTCATTTTTGATCTTTTTCTCAATAAATTAAAAATTAAACAAATAGAGCCTTAAAAAGATAACAGTGAACAAAGTAGTAAAAGTTCCTTTTCTGCTGCTTCAACATACTTACTTAGGTCGTTCTTTCCTGTATTCATGCTGAATCTTCATCACTCATTCTCATCACCATGTCAAATTGTGTTTGCTTTCTTTATGTCCCAAGTCAGTTTTTTCTTCTTAAGTCCTATGTATATCTGTTTTTCAGATTGTAAAGCTAGCTATTTATGGCATGCTGCCAAAAAACCTTCACCGAAGAACAATGATGCAAAGGTTGCATCTGTTTCCAGATGAGGTAAGTCAGCAGTCACTGGTAATGATGCCTTTCCTAGATTTTCAAGTAAGCATATTCTCTTCATTTTAAATTACTGATAAAGACCTGTTTTCAATAATTTTATCTCAATCTCTGATATATTTTTGTATTTTAAAATAAAAATGTACACTATATATTAGCATGAAAATTTTTGTGGCTATGTAGATATACACACAAATACATACACATAGAAAGTAGTAATTACTCCTATTTTAAATCAAAATGAACCATCTTTGGACTGAACAATCAAAAGTCTACAAATTTTTTTTGTTTTAGTAACTTTTGAACAAGGAGCTATAACCATAGTTCCTCTTAAATTGACATACTCATTGATAGTTGTCATCAACTATGGAAAAAATTTTAATTTAGTTCACTTTTTATGTGAGCAGCAACAAACCTAATGGATTAATAACTCTTCTGCTAGTTATTTCTCCTAATTTAACTTTATAATTCATGTTCCTACTCAAAATTTATTCAGCTAAAAAGTACTTGAAAGCATATTTTTATATTTTATTACACTGTCTTAAGCACTTAGCTTTTCTACTTAGCAATGATGAAGCACTAGAGGTTGCGTGGTAAAATACTTTAGTATAGGCTCTGGGGTCAGACTGCCCAGGTTTGGATCTTTGCCCCGATTACTGACTGCATAAGCATGGGCTAGATGCTGTTTCCTCATCTGTGAAATGCACCTGATAATAGTTCCCACTTCATGAGATTGTCATGAGGGTTAAATGACATCTAACTTGTACAGGGCTTGGCATCGTAAGTGAGAGCTGCTGTCTGTATATTTCTACTGATGGGATGATGTCGAAATTTCAGTCAAGCTGATAGCAGTCATTCAAAGTACTTGTGCTTTAACTGAATGAGTAGAATAATTCTACACTCTCCACCTTACCTGTGAGGTAACATATCAGAAGAAGTATCATGTAAGGATAAATGAGCTTCATGAAATCATAAGAATTTAAGCTCCTCTACATGACTATACTGTCAGATTTTTAGAGTAATTATTTATTTTTAAGAAATAATATTTATTCCAGTTGCAAGGTACTCAAATTTGAGTGTTATGTTTGAAATATTCAGGGTAACTCAGTTAAACAGTAAATTACTTAAATAATTTCAAATTGTAAAATAAATGATTCCCTTTCCCAAAAAATGGATGGTAAATATTCAATTGCAATACATTTTTTCATTAAGACCACAGGGAAGCAAGCTGGTGGTGGGAGTACCACATGCTACAAGTAACCTGGAATCCTGGGAATTACCTGACATTTAACAGAAATACATATATAAGGACATACATCCCTGACCCAGAAATCCCATTTATACCAATTTATCCTGAAGATACATGTACATAACGTTATCATTTCCACCTTATTTATAGTAGCACAGTAATTTAATTTTAAAAGTCCGTTTCTGGGGCTGGCAATAACGTGAAGTGCAGATTGAAAGGCAGTGGCACTTGGCGCGGTGCACACACTCACCAGATGAAAGCATGTGACAGAGAGCCAAGGCAGCACCTTGTTGCAGTTGAAAAGAGAAAAAGAAATTAAACAGTGCTGGTTTTTTGTTTTTGTTTTTGTTTGAGGCAGGGTATTGCTATATAGCCCAGTACTTTTTAAAAAAATAAGTCAAGTATAGTGTGCATTGTTGTAATAGGATTACTTAATTGCTGGTCCAGCAACCTTTCAGGGATTTACTTATTTATTTTGCTATCTTTGACTATATTCAAATTTATACATTCTCCATACTTGATCTATATTCTATAATGGAATTATACAACAGCAAGATTCACTCAGTAGAAGTGATGAGACAAAGGGGACCCTGGAAGACTTGGAAAGCACTGGGCTTAGATGTCTTGCCTAGCACTGCAGCTTTATCAGATCTTTCTCTTCCTTTCCTATCTCTCCTTTGTCCTTCTTCAGTCACAAGAAGTTGTAGTCGTAGAATTGTTGTAACAGGTTTATCGGCCTTTCAGGGATTTATTCAAATTATTTTAAAGATTATATTGTTTTCCTCATTCTATACACATTCTTTTGCTTGTTTTTAATAATATTAATGTTTATTACAAAGAAAGATATTTTAAGAAAATTAAGCCTATATTGTCTATAGGATATTCCGGAAGATATTCTTAAGAATTTAGTGGAAGAGCTTCCTCAACCACGAAAAGTACCTAGACGTCTGGATGAGTATACCCAAGAAGAAATAGAGGCTTTCCCAAGAGTGTGGACTCCGTAAGTGGCTTTCTTCTTCTTTATTTTTAAATTTGAACTTGGTATGTAATTTGTTTCCAAATGTTAAGATCCTTGAGGGTGGAAAGATGCACTCCCTTGCAAGTTCAGCAGCTACTACCTACAAATACAGTCCAGATGTAGATGTTGGAATTGAAGGTCTTAAAGCTTATGATCTTGATGAGGAAGTGCAAGGGGGTTGTCAAACATTTTATTTGTAGCCTTACTTGGATTGACTATGTCTTTTGGAACAATAAACCTATTGTCATTAACTTAAAAACAGTGATTGTCAGTTTTCCAGATTGTTTCAGGAGCCAAGACTATCATCTCATAAAATGTCATTAGTTCTAGAATTTTAGTCCTGATCCAAATAGTAAAGCTAAGATTTGACAGGCTGTCTCCCATCTACTTACTTCCAGGCTTCTTTGCCTGAGATAAGCAGAAGATGACAGAGTTAAATGTCATGCCCTCAGGCTGTCCTTCCTGTGGTCTGGGCTCCCCATTGCAATGTTTCCTGGTAAGCTTTTCATCTGAGGGAACTACATGCTTGTCTTGTTCAGCTCTGAGCATGGTGCCTGCAAGTACTCAACAAATACTCATTAAGTGAGTGAAGACATAGAATTTCCTTTATCAGCTTTTATAAGTGAAATTAGGAAAGAAGTCTAAAAGAAACAAAGCAATAATTACTTTTCATTTCTTCTCAGCATTTATCAATATTCAGAATAATTTCATTTATTTATATGCGTGTTCTTTATTATAGCACACTGTAATAAAGCATTTACTTATGCTTTACATGCGTCAACAACCTATTCTCTGAGCAAACTAATGAGTTAGTATAATTTTTATATCCATTTGTTATAATTGAGAAAATACTGACATAGAAGGATAAAGTAATGCCTAAAATCACATAATGGTGTGTGGCAGATTAGCAATTCAAGTTGAAGGTGACTAGCTCCTGGGCCATGCTTATAACCACTCTGTTGAATTCCTCTTGTTGCGATGAGTATCTACAGTGTGTCAAATGGTAATTATGCCACATGCTATGAAGTGCTGAACAGCTGTGGAGATGTGGGGAGCGGGGAAGGGCCTTGTCTTGTTCAGCACTATAATCCCAACACTTAGAAATAGTACTTGGCAGCCAGGCATGGTGGCTCACATCTGTAATCCCAGCTATTCAGGCAGTCACGATTAGGAGGATCATGGTTTGAGTACAGGCTGGGCAAAACATTAGCACAACATGATCTCAATAGCTGTAATCCCAGGTATATTGTGGGCATGGGTAGGAAGACTACTGGTCCTAGCCAGCCTGGGCAAAACAGCAAGAGCCTATCTGAAAAATAACCTAAAGCAAAAGGACTGGATGCATGGCTCAAGTAGTAGAACCAGACACAATGCCCTAAATTCAAAGCCTGCTGCCTTCAAAAATAAAAAAAAAGAAGAGGAAGAAAAGAAATAGTCTTTGGCATACACTGTAGGTACTCAGTGTTTTTGAAAAAATGAAGAGATGAGTTCTTTCCCCTAAAAATTAATTTTGAAGTTCTCATGAATGTCTTAATAAAGTTTTAGAAAAATCCAAACCTAAGTTCAAATCTTGACTGAACAGTACATAACTCTATTAACTTTAAGTGAGTTATTTATCATTCTGAGTCTGCTTCCTCATCTGAACTCAATTTCTTCAACTGTAAAGTAGAACTAACCCATGCTTCAAAGAATGGCTAGAAGGAATAAATGAGGTAATGTATGAAAACACTGCTATACCTGACCTGCTGGCCAAGTTTTTAATGAAGATTTGGGGTGGGGAGAGGCAGTACTAGGGATTAAACCCAGGGCCTACCTGTTCAGCTACAACCCCAGCCATTAGTGGAGAATATTTTTGCTATTACACATTCTGTATTGTTGTAGTGTACTGCTAATGTGGCATTTTCTGTAAATGTACTTAAGTTGTATGCCATTCTCAAATATTCAGTTTTGATAAGTTATATACTAAGAAAGTATCTTAAGTAGTCCTCAAAGTTTTGTCAGGTTACCTTCCTGTAACAAGTTCTATAAATATAGGTCTGTCATATCTGATATTCTTAGAGAAATGCCATAATAATGAGTTTATGTGATACCTTGTTTTAAACTAATAAAACTACCAAAGGTGGTATTAAATCAAATATGTGACCAAACACGTTGTGAATTTACAGTTACAGGTCATGAGTATTCTAAAATTTAAAGGAGTTTAGCCAGAGCCGTACAGTGCAACAACCATTCACAACTGATCACAGTTAGTGTAATCAGAGTACAATCAAAAATCTTATTTCACTAAACAACTCCTAATTCATCTTAAAACAAATTAGAAGGTAACTGAGTGTCTTGATTATATTAATAAAATTAGGGTTTTCTGGTTATTTTAAAGGATTTTTAGAAAAACTTTCATTCCACGTTTCTCTGTGTCAGGAATATTCATTGGATATCAGGCTTCTCCTCATAAGCAGTCATACAGCATATATTGACTTCTGTTGCCAAAATAATTAAGTAAATATACATTTACTGTAATGTGAGGATTTATCGTGGTATAGGTATACTAATCATTTAATATAAATTATTCAAGATGTCATTCTCCCTGCACACTGAGCTGATATCACATCCAGTTAGTCTTTATTACACGAAAAGCATGTGACCAGGAAAAAATATTTATTATTTTTTACTTTTTATTTCAGACCTGTCCCATGCAAGTTTCTGCAGGGATGAAAAGGCTTTCTGTCTGATCCTCAAATGCAGTAACCATTGTCCACAGCGGGTTACTGAGCACTTGCACTGTGGCTGCTGTGGCTGAGTAACTCAGTTTTTTAATTTTATGAAGTTTAAATTTCAGTGGCCCTATGTGGTTAGTGACTGCCTTAGTGGACTATGCCATTTTAGTTGTTTACCATTTCATAAAGTTCTAGTAAATATTACGTACTGTAGAATTAGAATTAATAAAATACTTGATACACTGGGCAGTTCAGTGCATTGAAAGTGGGACTTCTTATTATTGAAGGCTTGACTTTATGAGAAAAAAAAATTTTCTTCTTATGGAAGAGGAGCCTACTTGAAATATGCTTTTGTCCCACCCAAAACAGTTAAAAGCCAAGAATGCAATCTTTGGAATGTAGTAGTTGGAATTTATTCAAGGTAGATGTGATGGTGAATCTTCAGAGCCTTGACTGAAATATTTAGATCTGGCTGCACCATGCATCACGGAGATAGGCGTGGAGATGGCTTGCTTTGGCTTTTGTTTCCCTAGTGACAGATCTTCAGTATGTCTGTAATATAATTGAGACTTTTATTAATTTCTGGCAAAATAAAAGTTTATTAGCGTGTCTTTTAAATAGCAGTGATAATTATTAAGCTAAGCTTTGAACCCAATAGATACTTTAATCTTAATTAAAAGCTACTATTCTTGGGATTTCGTTTAAATTATTTTAAATCACTTACAAAGGTTATATTCTTTCAGGCCTAATTTCAGCATATTTTAGATTTTCTTTTGTTAATTATTAGTTGTTCAGTCATTTTTAAAATAATGATAGAAGATAAGGAATGAAACTGATGCCTATGACAAAACCATATTTTTTAAACTAAAAGCCATTTTCCTATATGGATAGTATTGACTATTCATCTCACTTCTTAAATTAGTGTATATATGGTGGGTTAATATCTTTTATATTTCATGTTTATTGATGGTACAAAGTAGATGTGTTTGCACTTAGAATTTCTCTTTTTTCATAAAAGGAAAGAAAAAAAAACAGTAATGCTATCCTCTTTACAGTTCACTTGCTTGAAATTGTAGCTTTCAAATGGACAACTTATTTCAGTACCATCAATTGTTATTTCCAAGATTACTGCAGTTTTGCCAACATATTACAAAACCCAATAATCATGGAAATTATAATGCTGTCATTGTGGTAGAAATTTCTTCTTGCATTGGCTAAAAATAAAACTTGGATCATTTTAAACTTTTTATTTTTAAGCTTTACGAAATTCTCTACAAGAGATTTTCTTAGGAAAGCTAGATAAGTGGAAAATTTCATCTTGAATTGTTTCACATTGTAATTCCTCACTCATTAACCCAGGAACATCTCATTTTAAGCAAAACTCACCTTTGTAGAGAAAGTCAGTGGAGAAAGTTTTAGCATCAGTAAACAATTGAAAATGGATATTTGTTATGAAAACCCTGTTCCTGGTGTTTTGTCTTTACAGAGTATGCTATGAGGAATGTGCCTGACAGAGAGAGGGGTGGAAAGGATGAAGGCAAGGTGTGAGAATGACTGTGACTGGCCCTGAATTGTCTTTCTAGAGAATAAGATTAGGTTTAGAGAGTTTGATGGGAAGTCTATCCAGATCTGTAAAAGAAAGGTGGAATTCAAGGTGCTGGACACAATTGCCCCAGAGAAGGCCTTTGGTGAGCATCCTGCCCAGGCTGCAATGCTAGTAGAGAACAAGGACTGAGCTCAGTGCCTGCTCTCTGATGTGGAAGCTGTTAACCTAAAAACATACTTGCTCTAGGTTTTATATAATGTGATATTAAGAAAAAACTTACCTATGTCTTTATAAAATATGCTTTTTATCCAGAGATGTAAAGACAGTGAAGGAGTTTTACCTGGTCCGATCCCATAAGGAGCAGAGATCTGGCAGGGATATAGACAGCTTTAAGATTTTCCATAATTTTATGCTAGTCTAGTCATGTGACATTTTCCTTACAAGATTTAACTTAATTTTCTGCTCTTCACAGTCAGAAGTCATTAGCTGTACTTAGGGAACAAAGTTACTTTCCAACTTCCCACCCATTCCAACCAGTTCAGCATTGGCGAAAGCCATGGATCTCAATATTTCCAGTGCTGAGTTTTGCTCACATTAGGCATTCCAAACTGTTCTGTTCTCTTGGATATGAACAGATCAGTTGGTACTGGTTGTTAAAAGAAAAAAACGAATTAGATAACAAAACCCAGAACACTTACAGGTCCTAGTCAATATAGATTCTGACTTAAAAAGTAGTAATTAAATGTGATGGTCATGCCTATTCATTTTAATCAAAAATTGATAGTTTGGTTTTTAAGTATTCTAGACCATCTTGTGATTTTTAAAGAGTAGTATCAACCCCATTCTGATAGGCTAGGGCATGGAGAAATGAGCATAAAGGTGCCATCACTCTACCTTACCATTTCCTGTACAACTAACATCTGTAATTTAAGGAATGTGCAGTATCACCAGATGTCCTGGAATGGTTTCATCTAATTCTGTCTATGCAGTGGAAGTAACACAACATTCAATCAAATGGCCTTTTACTGATTTTAAGATCAGCTTGCTGTTCAGAATGTTTTGTGGCATAATCATTATGCTTAGAAATACTATTTGTGAAAACACAAGGTCAGGCATGGTGGCTTATGACTAATTTCTGCTACTCCAAAAATGGAGATGGGGAGGATCACCATTCAAGGCCAACCTGGGCAGAAAAAAGTTGGTGAGATGCTATCTTAACCAGTAAGCTGGGCACAGAGGCATATTTCTGTAATCTCAGCTATGTGAGAGGTATAGATAGGAGGATCGTGGTCCAAGGCCAGTAGTGGAGGGAAAAAAAAGACGAGACCCAATCCAAAAAATCAAGCAAAGAGGATGTCAGTGGGTCAGGTGATAGATCGTCTCCCTAGAAAGTTTGAGCCCTGAGTACCCCATTACTGCCAAGGGATAAAAGGAAAGTAAAATAGTTTTGAACCGGGATTTCTTAAACTTAGTTTACACACAGTTTCTTAGATTTGCATCTAAAATATGAGTGCTTTTTAGAATGGGATTTTGTGACAGGACTGCATTTTTTAGATGTGTTTGTTTCATTTAAGATTGACACGCAGGGTTTTGCACAGTGACGTGTGGGGAGGTTTGCTGTGAAAGCTGGGAATTGTGTTGAATGTGGCAGTATCTGAAGAGTTTCTGAGCAATTTACAAGTACCCTAGAACATGTCCCAGAGTGCAAACAGATCTTTTTAAAGTTTTCATTGCTCATTTAGTAACAACACGATTTTTTAAGCACAACTGCCTTATTTAAAGGCAGTTTTCTGCTGGTGATGAGCAGTATTTACCAAACTGTTTGTTGTTGCAGAACACTTGCTAGCTGTGAAAATTAGCACAATATAGTGGATGTAAAACAAATTCTTATGCTAACTAATTCTTAGCAGATTTATTAGTCTCCCCAGTATATTCTATGTACACATATGTGAAAGTTTAAAATTTTTACCTTCTTCTCTAAAGAAAATGTGTATATAATAAATAAATTATATAAAAACCTAATGCAGCTAGCTGCATTATATATGTATTATGTGTGTGTATATATGTATATATATTTATAATATTCCTGTGTTAGATGACCACTACAATGTTTGTTGAGTGAATAAATGTAATATCCTCTACAAAAGAGAGAAATTGACTTTTAATTCATAAAAACTCTACCTCATTATTTCCTATACAGTTTGCATCTTTAATTTAAGGCATACACAGTGTCACAGGAAGCCTATAGTTCATATTCATATTTTGGACTCTGCTGCTTACTTAAAATTTTCTTAATAACTATAGCTAAGGTAGAAATTTTTCTTAACAGTCTATGCTTTAGTTCACCTTTGATATATCTGGTTTGGGATACTTTACAAAGGAAGATCATGATAATTTTATTAAAATATAGCATATTTCTGCCAAGGACTGTACTTCTATAATTTCCATCAAAAAATGATAGGTATTAGATTTTTATAACAACATTTGAAGTATGTCTTCAAAGTTTACCTGAGATTACTTTTAAAATACTATTGTTATTTATAAATATAGTAATTTTACATAATACCTTTTATTTTAAAATTTTGTAATTTGTTATTAAAATTGAAATCGTTACAAAGAATTAATGTAAATGTAGATGCATAGACAACAGGGATGTGTTCCCAAGGTTAAATCATCACTACAACTTAAGTGTTATATCAGAAAAGCATCCAGCTGCCTGCTGATGAAGTTCTGTGGTTGACAAGAGCCAGGAATGGAGTTAACCTCTCACCAAGAAAGATGCACCTTTCCTTAGAGCAGGCACAGACAAGTTTTACATTTTTCTTACTGAAGGGTCTTCTTTTACTTTCGTCACCTTCAGTAGTTGTCTCCTGTGTCCTATGAATGGCCCTGAGGTCTGAATTGAACCCTTGCCAGTGAATGGCAGCCTGCCTGGGCCAGTAAAGGGAGAGTTGTGAAGAGCTTGCCAGAAAATGTAACCTTTGAGGTGGAGTTTGAAAGATGAATCAGGTTTTCCAGGCAGAAAAAAGATAAGAGTCATTCCAAGCAGGTGAAATGTCAAGCACCAAGTCTTTCACCATGGGGGTTTGGAGGAGCAGTGTCGAGTGCCAGAATGCAAAAAGATAGGATTAAAAAGTAACTCAGAAAGACTGCCTGGGGCCACTTGCTGAAGCAGAAGAGGGCCATTGACAGTTTTTAAGCGGACACTGAAGTGGAAGAAAAGGAATTTGTTAGATGCGCTCCAGTTTGTTCTCCCTTGCCTCGACTCCTAACATCTAAGGTGACTCCCATGTCCAATGTCATCATATTTAAAACCAGTCTGTTCCCCATGTTGAAAAACAACACAGACATTTACTGAGTTCTTCAACCTGAAAATTACTAGTCATCTCTGAATCATCACCTTTCAATAGCTCCTCCCTCCATCATCTCCTTGGGCCCCTTCCCTCTTCTTTCTCCCTTTCCAGGCAGCCCCACACCTCAGCATCTTACTCTCTTCCTTCCAGAATTCTGAACCTGACCTTTCTTCTCACTGATTACTGCTTTAGTCCTGACTGAATCCAAATTTTCATCCTCCTCACTTCTCCAAAAGTAAATCATCTTGAAATACATTGAGGCTTTATTTTATCACCTCTTGTCTTGGGGCCGATATCCACATGCCCTTACCTGGCAGATTGCACCTTTTACCCACATTTCCAGTTCGACTTCTGAATTCCACTGAAATGTCATAGTATCATTTAATTTTGACTTAACAAATTAACCTTGCATGTGGAGACAGCTAGTGACTTTGACTAAACACAATTAATTATATTAAGTGGAATTGTGATGCTTCTTCTGGGACATTAGCTTAGAGACCTCTTTCCAGCTGCATCAGCACTACCCACTTTGCAGTTACCAACCAGAGAGACAGGAGACCAAATCGCTTACTCACGTGTACTGGTGCCACTTAACTAGCAACTGCTTTGATTATACTGAGTCAAACAGCAAAGGTTCCAAAGCTTCTCTCCAGAGCTGCTTTTAGCTGTCAGATCAAGTTGTTTTCCTAGACTTCGGTTGTGGCTTTTACATTTGGAAAGAGGCTTCTTAAACACAGTGACAGTATTCTGCCATTTTCTGTTCATGTTTTGGATGGCTGATACGGTAAATCATATCTGGCTTGCTTCCCAGATCAGTGCTCCTCAGTTTAGCAGTAAACATTTTAAATTATGATATAGGTCTTTTTACTCAGCCAGTAGACAGTTGGTTTCTTAGCTGAGCTGTCTGGTATCTTGTGAGTATTCAGTTTAAGAATACATATTGTAAATGTGGAAAGGGACTAGGTAAGTCATTTCAGAGAAAATAGAGTTCATCTGCTTTTGAAGGAATTCGAATATCAAGTATTTTTACAGCTATTTCAAAAATATCTGTTTAGTTTGTTACTGTATTATATCAAAAATTCCCTGAGAGCCTATTATTTGTATATATGCTATTAAAAGATGAAAGATAACAGAAAGCTTTTTAAATGTTCACATTTTATAATTCCTTACTCATTTTTGTTAAGATTCTATTCTTTTTATTTATTGCTAGATTTAACATGTTCCTGAATTTTTTTTTTTTAGTTCTCTAAGGGAAATGACTCTCAAGTAATGCTTTAAATATATAAACAGATTATAAAAAACTAATTACACATGTGTAAAAATAGGAAATGCCTGGTGTTTATGCATTTAGAAGGTGACGGGGTGAATATGATCAACATATTTATATGAAAGTAGTGTAATGAAACCTACTAAAAGTATTTTAGAAAGGAGTGGAGAAGGAAGGGAGAGTAAGACAAAGTAAAAGAGGGGTCAAATTCCATCATGTACGGAAATGTCACAGTGACACCCTTTGAACAATTAATTTACACTAATAAAAAATTTATATATACATACATACACATATGCATATATACACACAACTCTTACTTTATCTAGATAGTTGGAGACTAAAAAGAAAATTAAAAGCTGGGCACATGCCTATAATCCCAGTACTTGGGAGACTGAGCAAGATCCTATCTCAAAAAACAAACAATAACAACAAAAAATGAAATGAAGTTTAGCATAAGATTTATAAAGTAATATAAATAGGAAATTGCTTATTCTAAATTTGCCTTTGTGAGGTAAATCTATTTTATATGACTTTTAAACTCATCACAATAATCCTTTCTGTGAGAAGAGCTTAATGAAAGAACGTTTAAAGGTACAAATCAAATTTAAGTTATTATGTTACTAAATACATCTATAGGAACAGGGTTAGCATATTTTTTATATTTTCTGTAGAACTTTGGAATTATCCCTTAACTCTTCCAATTTTTGATGTTTTGGCTAAATGTTTTTTAAACCAAATGCATGATACACTGTTTATAGATATATTTCAGTGGACACTTACTTTTATTTTAAATTGGAAAAGTAATCTAAATGAAAAAATGATCAATGAGGAAATAGATGTTGATTTTTTCTTTTCCTTTCAGACCTGAAGATTATCGGCTATAGGAGAATGGAAATCACAGAAATAGCAGAGAGGCGACTTAAGCTGCTTCCTCATGAGGTTCTCTGACCTCGGACATAGAGAAACAACTGCTTCAGTTCACTGTGGGGAGAACCCAACAAGGGCCAGGCCTTCAGCAGGAAATTACAGTAAAACACATTGTCTTCTGTAATCTGATTTCAGTGTTGTAAATAGTAATAAAATTGCTTACTTGATTAACTATTAAGAACTGCATTTAATGAAAACACAGACCCTGGACATAACATTTCAGTTACAAGTTCCCACCAATGCCTACCTCTGTGAATTTTCTTAAGTTCCAGATCTCTCTTCTTATGCCCTGTGGACAAGCCTTACCTCCACTTTTCCTTTAATTGGTTATTTTATCTAATCTTCCATCTAACTAAGCTCATCTTTCCAGCTTGGTATGGTAATGTTTACTATGAAATACCTATAACTGCTTTCATCTTTTTCTGTGTCCTAGATAACGAGTCTTGTTCTCCATGACACCAGAAAACACCATAATGCCTGTCTATTCTCTAGAAATCTCCCTGCCTGCCTGTGATGCTGTTTTCTGACTCCCTCACTGTTGTCGCTTCCTCTCCTTTTGGATTGGCACATGGCAGAATGAACATCCCCAGCAAAATATCTTCTGTAGAAAGTATGAGGCTAAGCTACTAAGTTTGGCATTTTTACATTGGTATTCTTCATTCTTTTCCTTCTTTTGCCCTAGCCCAACAGTGTGTTCCAAACCACCTATCTCATTCATTGAGCAAACCTGTACTGAATACTGCTATAATGTCAGGCACAGTGCTGGGCCCTGGGGAAACATATCACATGTCTTCTCCAACTCCTCCATTCCCTACCAAAAAACATACAGTCTGCTGTGGAGTGGGAGGGAGCTATAGGTAGGCTTGTAGGTAAGTGCAGCTGGATGTAAGCGGTAAAGATATAACCGTGTATGAGCTGTGATATAAGCATGTTTAGGGTAGAAAAATAGCTGCATTAAATATGAAGTACTGCTAGCAAGCATCTGCTATGAACCAGATACATCAACCCTGTAATATATATACAGTTACTCTCCTGATTTGAAATTGGGCATACTGAGAAAGTACTGCAGTTTGAATCTCAGATGTCCCCCAGTGATCTTTGTGTTCAAGACTTGCTCCATAGTGTGGCACTGTTGGGAGGTAGAAACTGTATGAGGTGGGGCCTCATTGGAAGCTTTATGGTCATTCAGACCATGCTGTTAAAGAGAATAGTGTAATTTCTTTTATATCCCAGCCATGAGGTAAGCAGCTTTGTTCCACCACACGCTCCTTGCCATGATGTGCTCCCTCACCACAGGCCCAAAAGCAACAGAGCTTACTGACTTTGGACTGAAACATCCAAAACTGTGAGCCAAAGTAAATCTTTACTCCTTTTATGTCAATTATATCACATACTTTATTGCAATAATGGAAAGCTGACTGACACAGGCAGCGGCAAGTTAGCTTGGCATGGTTTATAGAAGTGTCAAGTGGTAAAACAGCCTGATCATGACATACCCTGAGAGAACACAATCACAATAACCAAATAAGAATCACAACTCACTATATGGGACTCAGTAACTAAGGGAGGAAGACGAGCTGGACCACTATGATAGCAGCTTCTATAGGTTAGATGAAGGAGGAGAAGAGAACTTTCAAAAAATAGTAAGTTCTGACAGAAAAGGAAACCCTGATTCTAAGAATTATATGGAAAGATAAGAAAGCCAATACATATTTTGTGTTACTATATGTGTCTGTAATGTGCCAATTAGTACACATAGGAATCAAATGAAAGTCCTTTGTTCATAAGCAGTTTTTCACCAGATGACTGTGTTACACTATTGGTTAATCCAGGTAGACATGAAAAATACCAGCCAGCTGAACATAATGATCTGGAAGACTATACCATACCTTACCCCTCTTAGCCCATTTACCCAAGTGCATTGCTTTATGTGGTTTATCCTTCTGCATTCCAACTTGCAGTGTTGCAAAGCTTTGAAAAAAAAATGTGATATTACAATAGCTGGGGGGCCTAATGTGATTGTATTGATAAACATACGAGACTACATTGAAAATAAACCAAGTGGGAGCGTATTAACTTCCAATAATTGTCTGCTCTCCAGAGAACTGGCAACTGAAAAGTATTTTCAAATTTCATGTGGCACGAGAGCACTTTGTGCCATCTGATCTCACTTGGGCCATACAGATTCATTATGAGAGAGGGTGCTTAAAACAATAAAAGTTAGATTTCTATTTTAAGCCAGTTCAGAGGAATGAAAAACAGGACAATAGACTAGAGCCAGTTTCCTGATACTTCACTCACAAAACTATGGCCTTCCTCCTACAGAGCTGGAAATTCATCATGGCTCAAAAGCCACTACCCTTTTACTACAAACACTTCCACCAAGCAAATTTCATGTCTCATAAAAATAACATTCTAGGCTTATATAGTATTTCTTTATTTATTAGGAATTTATATGTAGAATTGTGGTAGCATTTCTTATACTGTATCACTTACAAGACTACAAGTTTTGAGTTTTCTGCCTCAACTCCATTTTTCCTTATTTTTAGAATGCAAAATTTTATTATACAGGAATACATATGCCATGTTATAGGAAAAACCACTTTACTAGTTATAACTATTCTTTTATCATATCCTCCTGCCAGTCTCATCTTCCAGAATCCTTTAAGGGTCATACTCCCCAACCCCAGCAGGCATAGCCACATGGTAGATACCGTACACTAAACTCAGTACCATCCCCTTGCTATGCCTGGGCAGGAGCAGGCTCATGTCACTGTATTGCTTCCTGAGTGGAGGCATGATGGAACGGAAGAGAGTGTGTTAATGACAGTTGTCAGAGCCAGTTCTCATCACAGGGATAGAGTGTCTCAGGGGTCCCGTCAGAACTTAGCAGCATAGCCAAGATAAAACTCAGTTTAAAGGCAGGCCTTCACAAACATCCTTCACCTAGACTCATTATTCCTTGTCCTAATTTCTACTCTAAATTAACAAGATCACGCCAAGAACTTTGATTGATTGTTAAGTTATACCTCTTGGTTTAAATAAACTGGACCAGGTGTTGGCCCAGAAGCTTGGTGGCAATGAAGCAATGTGGCCTTCCTCTAAAGTGAATAAAGAGTAAAATTTTGTTTTTCTTGTAAGGCTCAATATGGGTATAAGGGTTTTTTTAAGCACATGTAAATTTCAGCTATCAGATTCCTACCATAGTTCCTTTCCCTTGTTACTAATTCCTCTAAGTCAGATCTAGACACTAATAAGGCACGTGCCTCATCTTTTTTTCTGTGCCACAGTTGACTGATTTGTTTTTCTTCCTTCTGGAAAAGGGGGTTGGTACTATATTCAGCCAAAGACAATATGAAATGTCCAGATATCTCCTGGCTAAAAATCACCCCTGTGAAACAGGTAGCAAGGTCAAAGTCTGCAAGGCCTAAAAACCCTGGAGGAATTCTGTTGCCAAGCTCTACAGTGTGAGTTTGAATTGGATAGAACCCTGTTTAAGAAGGTTTGAGCTTTCCAAGACAGACATTAAGGTTTCATTTCAACTTTTAAGTTGAGGCTCTTGCAGAGAAATGGTATTTCTCCTACTTTGCCCAAAAACATCTAAAATAAGAGAACTGAGTAGTTTTACAGTATCACAACTACTCAGGGCTTCACCTTGGAAGAATGTAAATCTGATATGGGCACCAGTAAAACAGATGTTCACCGCCACCTGAAGGCCATATTATATTAGGCTAACTTCCAGGAAGATTTAGTATGTGTTTTCCACATGAAGACGGAGTAAATAGAGCCTCTGAAGAAACACACGTTTGTAACAGTGCCATTTGGGCCACAAAAACTTCTTTGATTTCAAACTCATCTTCAAGATTTAAATCTTTCACTACCCTCACGATTCAATTCCAAGGTTAATACCTATTAAAACCTTGCACACAGTGGCTGCTAGAAGACCATTCAGTTTGTGGTGGGACACCTGTGCTTTATAGGCTGATGTTATGAAGTTCCAACTCATCAGCCTGTATTAAATCGTTTGTAGTCAACACTTTGAAATTATGATGCCATTTGGCATCTTCTTTAGCAATCACAAATCTGAAAGGAGTCTAGCTATTTAGAGGAAATTCTGAGTACAAAGCATCTGTCTTTTACTTTTTGGCAAAGTCACATAGTCCAAATAAAATATTTGTATAGCTTGTGAGAAGAATATTACCAGCTAGTTCTACTATTAATGCACTGTTCCCAGCATGGTGTGTATGCAGAGCCAGTAAATCATGGGTATAGGTGAATGTGTGTTTTCTTCAGAAAATTTAACCTAGAAGTCTAAACTTCAGAAGATTTAAGCTGCCAACTCCCCAGTCTATATTAACAAGGAATTAGCTACTGTATTTCATTCATTCAATCAATATTTATGTCCCAACATTAAGCACCTAAAGTAGTTTCTAGGGTGCTTGAGATACATATGTAAGTAAAACAAAGTTTCAACCTACTGTGGAGCTATATTCTTGTGAAAGAAGATAGGTAACAAATGTAAGTTATATTAAATATGTTATACGAGCAGATGTTAAATGTGAGACCCTTCAGCTGTTTATCACAATGATCCTGCATAATATCACTCCAAACAGTATCATGTGTAATATCCCCAAACCAATCTCTCTCTCTCTCTCTCTCTCTCTCTCTCTCTCTCTCTCTCTCTCTCTCTCTCTCTCCCTCTCTTGTGTGTGAGACAACTGGAGCTCCTCTGATTGCGCCTAGGCTCAGCTAGACTTGCCTCTAAGCTGCAGCTTGGAGGTCTACTTCCTGTGTCCCTAGATATGTCTCAGCCAGTCACAGGAGAAAAAGCAGGAGCACAGCAAGCAGCCTAACTGTACAAACATGTTTCAGACCTCTGCCTGTTTTGTGTGCACTAACCTCCTTATGGGCTGATGTAAGCCAAAGTCAAGGCCTTGGGAGGTGTTCTAGCATGGAAGTGGTGGAAAGGGGCAGGGGGAAAACTTACTCAAAGTGCAGTGAGGAGAAGGGCTAAGGGGCATAAGAAATACTGAAGGTAAAGCATATTACAGTGTAGGGTATCATTTTAAGCAAAAACTCAAAGTGGGGAGACAATCTGGGGGAGGAGAGTTTG